CCCAAGTGTACAAGTAAGCCTTGCAGTTTACATATTACTGCACTGCAGTACAAATCACGCAGGTCTGTCCTGTAGTGAATGCCCTCATTAAGTATAGGTAGAAGGTTTCCTCTGGTGACACCCAAGCTTGGCCTGGCACAATTAATGTTGGCGGGGGAGATCTCCCAAGCTCGCTCCATGACAGCAGTACAGAGCGGGCCCGGCCTCACTTCACCCAGGACAAGAATCTGATTACTCTTGACAGAACAGAATGTGTTGCCTGTAACAGCCAATCATATTCTTTATACGGTAGTAAGAAAGTTACACGCCGCACAAACTTGGTACTCTCTGTCCTAGATATCTGTTTTAGTTGGCACACCAACTTCTCACACAGCTTCATTATTTTGTTACAGTGATAGTTTTTTTTTTAAAATAGAGAGCAGGAAATAAATATTGCCGTCTCACACTGAGGAAATCCTCTGCAATCAGCCATCATTACTGAACGCTAGTTCTGAGTTTGTACTGAGCTCTGTGAAAAGTCATCATTTATAGGTGATGTGTCCTTTAATAAATTAATGACATTGTTTCATGAGCTGAAAACAGTTACAAAATATAGCCTAGGGAAGGGCTGAAAAAAATTGTAAACATTGAGATTTTGTTAGTGTAAGGAGCCTCAACGTGGGGGGGGGGGAGGAAACGACAGGGTAGTAGCTACTTAACCTTGCTTGCCCCAAGACGTGAAGCAATCTTGCTTCTGAATCTGGTGCTGAATTTCTGCAGGCCAAGGTTAAAAGCACCGTCCCTTCATAGAACGTGGGGGTGGGGGGTAATTGGTGATCAGTACAATATTTTAGAAAGTTCTTTTTGTGATGAGCAAGTCTGATATTTTAAAGCTCGTTCTCCCTTGGGAGATTAACCCTTCCATGCCCCAGGTGTAAACAGACTTAGGCCTGGGCATGCAAGTATTGCCACCCTTCAAGTACACCGCTTCCCGTATGCAATAAGCTGCTTCAAAATGTTCTGGTGCCAGGCCTTTGCCATCTCATCAAATCCGATTGGTTGCTGCAGGCAATACACAGTTCTCTCGTTTACATAGCTTCAAAGGCCTTAGCCTTAGCTGACCAATCCCGTTTAGTTGGCACAGTGTCTGGGGGCTAGACAGACCAAACACTGCCAACCAAATGGGCAGCAATGGCTCTCTGGAGGGAAATGGGATGGCTAAGTGCCCCTGTGTGGTTTTATTTGCTGTGGCTCTAACACAGGGCTCCATGCCATCATTTTATTTGGCGTGATGGTGGAATGGTTCCAGCAGACGTCACATCCCCGTTTTTAAGAGAGGAATCGGGAGAGGCCCTCCCTCCCGTTACAGCAGGAAACTGGACTGTCCCACCCTTGCCTTCGTTGGTTTCCTGTAGTCGGATTAAACAATGCTTTTTTTTTTTATGGCTTTTGTTTGTATTTTGTTTTATTGTTTCTGTTTACATATGTTTTTAATTTCTGCCTACATCTCGTACCAGACAGTATCATTACACAAAGCTTCGCCTCACCACGCCATCATGGTGGGAAACACTGCAGACACTAGGCCCGGGTCTAAACACAGGGAGGGACATTTATCAAGTAAGTGACCAATCAAGATGTAAATTAGGCTGCTTGGGATTGGTTTTATGACTCCTGCATTGGTCATCCTGGGCAGCAAACTGCCACACGTTTACCAGTGGAGATGCATAAGTTTCACTTAAAACAGACGCACAATGAAGAAGTGGTCAGGGGCAGGTTTTAGTCTGTTGTAGTTCTACTTGTGAGCAGCAGGGGGAAGACTATCAGTCAAGTAGCCAAATGACCAGGAATTAGTTTGCGTTGCCCAATGCAGACTGATGAATTTCCAAACCATCACTAGAAACGTGAATAGCTGGAGATAGCTGATCGAGGGGGAGATGTTCATGTACTGGAAGAGCCACAGTAGAATGGGGACACTGAAACTTTTGTGTTTTTATAGGTTTGCGGCATCTGTCTCTGGGAGATCGGAGCTCAAGCTGCACCCATTTCAAGCAGAGTTGTGCCCAACACAAACTTTGCATTTTCGGTGGAGAGTTTGGTTTCGGCCAACTGTAAAAAAAGGTTTCATCAAACCCCTGCCGTGGCTGTGAGCTGCAGTGTGCATCTTCTGTTCAGCATATAGCTTTGCCCCAGATATACATAGCTCCCTATCTATTCCCATGAAACAGGGCTAAGTAAACTCTGGCCCTCCTGCTGTGGTGCAACCACAAGTCCCAGAAGGCATTGCAAGACGTTGACAGCCACAGGTGTGACTCCCAGAGGTAGATGCATGTGGGAATTTGTAGTTTCACCACAGCTGGAGCTTGCCTGCCCCTGCTGATGAGTAATACAGCAAGTGTTCTGCTCTCCCGGGGGGATCCTTTGTAGAACTACATGGAGAACTCTGTACTGATGTCCAACTTGCTTCCCTAAAATGATCTTGAGTTGCAGTAATCCTCTTCCCAAAAACCGATAGTCTGTTTTGGGTGCAGTCTGGCACTGATCTTGGTCACATTTCCTTCTCGGATACACCGCACCTCATTTTGTCCTGCTCTAGCCTCCCATGATTAGGTCTAAGCTTTGCTGCTAGCACCCTCCGTTTTATTCCGGTTAAGAATCCAAGGACAATGCTTACGGCCCAAATCAGAGACTGTTACAGAACTTTTATCTTATGTTATCTAACCCATTATATTGGATTTGGCCGTTCTTAGATGCAGCCATTATAAATCAGCCCAATACCCTGAATTGAGAAAGAAGACAAACTCGTTAACCTGCATTGTTTGGGTCCAGCCCCTCAAAGTAGATGACTTCAGTCCAATCGGGCAACAGGTTGATCTGTGTATGCGTCCCTAATGAAGGGTTATCCTCTACAGCTTCCAGTGTGTTCACAGCAAATCCACTTCAATATACTGTTTGTATAAATGTATTTTCCTCCTGCTTATTGATATGAATGGTTGTAAAGCAAGCCCTTGAAGAAAAGGTGTTGAAAACAAATTTTATATATATTGTACTTTTGTTCCCCAGCTCACTGGTGTTTTCTGGCTGATGGTGATGCTGGTTAGACTTGCTAAGATTGAGAAAAGAAAAGCCGGTGGGTGAAGGTTTTACGTGCCAAGAGCGGCTGTTCTTGTGGATCGCGGGGGGCTTAGATGGAGATAAAATGCTCATGTAGATGGTCTTTGGAGGCGATGTGGGGGAATGGAAGTGCAGATGTTAGGGTGACGGTGGGCATTGAAGCCAGTCTCTGATATCAATAACTTTGACCAGCGGCCTCTCCTGTGTACCACTACACCACGCTGGTACAGTTTATACACAATGACACAAGCACATAATATGAGATATTCCATTTGCATCTTTATTGTCTTTTATCATTGCTGCAGATTGATTGTCACCTTCCTTTGGATGACTTATGATGGACATCAAAGTAAGTTAGCTGAGGAATCAGAGGAGTTGTCATTTCATTCTCCAGGAAGATATTTGTCATCTTTTCTGAGAAGGTCAAATCTGTTTTGCAGCTTGGACTGCCACGTATGATCATTTGCACATTCGCTGTTCCTCTATAAACTGGAACTATTGCTGCTTCAATACTGCCAGTGCAGTGACTATGGGACAGGAATGAATTAGGAGCTGTGTGACGATCAGCCTGCTGAAGAATAAAATGGCAGCATAGTAGGTATGCTGGGGGTGGTAGTTCCCCAACAGATGCAGGTTGTTTAATGTCCATTTCTGGGCAAACAAAAAAAAGAATACTTGAGTTGGGACTAGTACTGCAAGGGTAAAGTTCTCATTTTTGGCTGGGGACTGACGAATTAACTTGTCCCTGCTCAGATCATGGTCATTGCTCTCCTCATCACATATGATGTAGGTCTATGGAGCCTGTAGTAGATGTGATAACGTCAGAAGTCCTTCAACCACAGGAGCGAAGGGTAGGAGGAGTTGTGGGGACCGGTATATGGAGGGAGCCATGATCAGGAAAGCAAATGTGCTTTACTCCAGTCCCCTAGACAAAACACAGCACCTAACCCTTAAGGTGCCCATACACTGCACGATAATCGTATGCGATCGGTTTTTCGTACGATAATCGAGCAGTGTGAACGGAGACGTGCGACCGTTTCTACTGTACGGTCGCACATCTTCTGTCGAACCAGCATGTTCGAAAACCAGCCGGGAATTGTACGATTTTCGGCTGGTTGGAACGGTGCTCGGAAGACAAATGCCGAACGGGCCGGTGTGCGCACGCGCACACTGCCCGTTCAGCATTGCGGTCATCGGAAGCCCGCCCCTCAGGGGGGCGGGCTTGCAATGATCGAGAGTGCGATCTGCCTGTCCAAGATGGGCAGATCGTACGTTTTTTTAATCCCTGTACAACCATTGCAAGACTAAAGCCTTGCGATGGTTGTAGAGGGTATGGCCACCTTAACAGTGTGTGGCTCGCCCCACCGCAAGGGTACTTTTTTTTTTTTTGTTTCCCTGGAGACAGGCTTTAAAGGGGACTTGTCACAAAGCAAAATAACCAGTCTCCGAAGCCAGTCTTTGCTTTCTAGGCTGCATGCCGGTCATGATGCTACTGCCCAAGCAGATTTGATCTACAGTCTTTCATACCGGTGCCTTGCTTTGTAACAGACTCCCTTTAGTGCCAGCCTGCTGTGTGTAAAACAAGTGCTGGATTTTCCTGAATGTATTAGTTGCCTGACTTGTCATGCTGCTCCTCAAGCGTCATTGTTTGGTTACTGAACTGGAATAAGCATGCTGCCCTACTGTTCTTCCCATCTACATGATGTTGGTGATACTAGGGGACAGGCAAGACCGCTAGGAAGTTGACATTCTGAAAAGTGGGTTAAGAATGGCAGCATAAGCATGTAGCATGTCTTTCATAATGAGACATAACAGTACTGAAAGATGTCCAAGCTTCCAGTACTCGCCTCTCCTTTTGGATGTGGCGTCAGTGTCCCAGAACTAGTTTTCAGATCAGGAGTGATGACTACTAGCTGGGTGCATGAGCCTAGGAGAACCAACAAACTAGTATTGTAGCAGCAGCCATACCAGCACAGGTTTCTCTAGGTCTCCGCTCCCTTATGTGAAATGTGTAGGTGGAAGGTGTTCATGTTGTGAATTGTGCACAGCATATGGTTCGTGGTCGAGGCAAGCTGCATTAGGATCTGTCCCTGAGGGCTGTGTGATCTAGGAGGTGTCTCACCCTGATGCTATAGACACATTCAGAATTCATTGATGGGAGCATTTGACCTCCTAGTGAGCTGCGTCAAGTAGGTTTTGCATTTCCATAGACCTGCAGCAGAAGGTAAAACCTGTTTTTGAAGTGAACATAAGTCCATGAACACCGCTCCCTCACCATCTCACTTTATTTTAAGGAAGGGTAAAAGTTCACAGGAGGGTTTAGAAGTTTCATGTTGTCTTTTAATTGTTAAAATCAACTTTTGTTTTCTGACGTTAGTAAAATGAATGACCCACCTTGACACCAATATATAACCTATATATACACACATATAGCACACACTCACAGGCCACTTTATATCATGGAAAGTTGTCAAAAAACAAAATTGTGGCTAAAGAAAAGTAAAAATCTTTGCAGAGAAAAGAGGTTAGGGTCTGAGATTTTGTTTAAATTTGAGACCCTATCATAACAAAGCCGCCATTGTGAGGAGCCAAACAGTATCCAGCCCCGCCCAACAAAAGTACAAATGTACTTCCCAGCCAATCAGCATGGAGCTGGCTTCCTGGCCAATAGGGGAAGTTGGTCATCACTCACCACCCATTTCCTGATTGCTCGGGAAAACAGCTCCAAGTTCCCCTATAACGCTGCCAGTCAGAGGAAGTTCCAGTCTCGGAGCATTTATCTTCCATAGATCTGATTGGTTATGTTGGTTTACCTGCTCTCTGCGTACATCCCTTCCCCCCGGCTTCATAACATAATGCTGTATCTGTGTGAATGTTTTCACCCACAAGATGGAGGGCACAGTTTGGATTTCCTTTAGGTACACTCTACTGCACAAGTTCACTCATGCAGCAGCTGCCATTTTTCTAATGACTCTTCCCCCTCCTGTGTCCATCAACTTTTCCAAATTTGCTCACTGCCAGGGGTGGTCTAAAAAGTAGACTTTTACTGGGAAGAAATGGAACAGGTAGGAGAGATAGACAGATATACATTTCTCAAATTCTTTGCTGGTGCCAGTCATGTGACCAAACACTGTCATTTATCACATGATCCTAGCCAAAGGGGGCTTGTAATGTTCAGGCTGGGCCAACCAATCGGCAGTTGTCTAAAATCTCTCTCCTCTTTGGCCATGACCCAGCGCTTGGCCAGCCATGGCAAGGAGAAACCAGGAGCTCTGGCAGTGAATATTTCTTCTCTGAATGTAGGACTCCCATTTCCATGTGGGGTACAGATCCTCTTAAAGGAAATTTGCAAGTACTGAAGCTTATGATATTTAAAGTGACAAGGACCCTATTTAAAATTGTAAAATAGACCAACCTGTAAAGAAATAAAAAAATACCTGTCCTGCCACAAATTATTGCGGTCTAGAAATGCATCCTCCTCCGTGTTTGGCCAACGTGGTTCCATCTGCTTGCCCCTACTGTGTAGATGTCGGGGCCATCAGATCCAATGCTAAAGATTTTTGGTGTCTGTGGTGGGGCAGGTAAGTAATACCCCCACCCCACCCTTTCCCCAGGCTGGACTATTTTACAATGTTAACTAGGGGCAGATTTGCTTTAAACCATTAGGATCCTTTACTATATGAACTGATAAACCTAAACCATGGTCAATCTGGATGGCTGCTTTTAATTAGGCCCATCCAGCATCTTCTGTCGCTTACCGGGCCCAGAGCCGCCTTCATGACTTGCCAAAATGGAATCCTTCATTTTTTTTTAAATCCAAGCAATGTGGATTTCTCTGACCTTCCAGTCAGTAAAACTTCTGTGCAATATGAAAAGAAAAAAAAAAAAAGAAGCAATCAAGGAACCAACTGCCGTGTTTCACATGTCCACAGTGGCTCCAGTATATTTTTATAGATAGATTTGCATAAAAACACCTCATTTATCCCTCCCCCTCCCCCCACCTTATTTTCTCCCCCTTTTTTCTTTTGGGTAAAAATATTCAGAAATTTCATACATTTAGAACTGAAGACAAACTTCTTAAAAAGAAAAAAAATCACGTTCAAGCGAAAGATAAAAGGAAAAAAAAACAAAAACATGGAAGGTTTTAGGAAAAGGATAGACCATAAAAGCATGTCCGTACATTACGAACCAAGCTGCAGGGATCGAGAACAAATCTCTTTAATTGATCTCGAGATTTTTTTCAATTGTCAAGATTTGTATGGAGTTGTGGTGGAACTAGTTATCAAGTAGAGCTTTTTTGGTATGTTAATGACTATTTGCTATGGACTGATATTAAATGTTTTAAAAAGATTTTGCGTTCTTAAATATTTTTGACTTTTTTTTGTTCTTTTGAACTTATATTACGCAGTTTCAATTTCTTTGTATTATTACCACATTAAAGTATAACTCTTTGAGTCTACGCTATTTATTTTCACTGTTTTACTAATAATTTAGGGAACACCCTTTTATTTCATTTTGTTTTAATAAAAATACAAAAAAAAATGTGTAGTATTTTAAACTTATTTTTCAGGTCAAATACCTTTTTATTTTAAAAATATTTGTAACTACTTTTTTTTTTTTTTTGTCCATGTCGGTGCACTGCACTCAAGAAAATCATTTGTATTCCCTTAATTTCAAGTCAATAAACAGAATGAATAACTGGACTGGAAGTGTATTTATTTGTTGCGCATGTGTCTGTGTGTCGCGTGGAGGGAGGTTGGACGGAGCTTGCAAGGTGCGTAAAGCAGAAGATTCCTTCACTGAAAGGACTCCGGAGAGAAATACATAGGCTGCTATTGCCGATCTCTAGGTGCCTGGCTCGCCCCGATTTGAATAATTGCCGAGTCGCTGAACAGGGTCAACCAGTCAGATTAGGATGTCAGAACTACTCCGCAGCTCAAACTACTGAAGCCAACAAATAAGTCTTCAGGGCATTCTCACAACAGCTTCCAATAAAGTGAATCTAAGGGCCTGTTCACATGAGATCAGGTCCTAATCAGCCGACGTGGAGCTGCTGATGCATTGCGTTTCTGGCTGCGTTTTTGATGCGTTCCAGCAAAAAAAAAAATATTTTTTTTTTTTTTTGCTGGAGTGGGGCTGTTAGTATGTTAGCTGCAGCGCAGTGCGTTTTTGACGTGTTTGCGTATCCGAACCTGACAAAATGTGACATGCAGTATTTTTTCTGTCGTAAGCTGAACGGACTACGCACGTGAGAACTGGAGCCCATAAAACACATAGGGATACATTGGGATGCATTTTGAGTGCAGCAGCGTACGGAGACGGTCAGCACACAAAACGGACGTCGTGTGAACAGGCCCTAAAGGCCAAACGTTTTAGTTTGGGGTAGAGTAATGAAAGGACAGAACCCAGACAGGTTTTTATTTATTATGGGCTTTGTGTTACCCTCTTTATCCTGGTAACCACTGCTTAAAATGGTATTGTGTGGTCTCCAGGACAGGAAGTGAAGGAAAATCTCCCCAGCTGGACACAGCAATAAAGAGCTGACAGGCATCCTAACCCTTTCCTACTCTAGATACCCTTCTGAGTTTTATGCAGCAGACCCAATCATTTTTGTAATTTTCTTCATCACCCTTATTGTGCAAACCAGCAGCTTCCTCTTGGCCCCGTCCCTGCTGGTCATCCAGATGATTGTGAAGATGCATACATGAATGAATGTTGAGATTCAGTAGACTGCCAGTCATGTATTTTTTTTGTTTTTATAAACACCATAAAATCCTTTTATTGGTATACATGGAGACAAAGGAAGGGTTTCCACTTTGGGTTACACTGAAAACTTGGACACGGAAAATATATATATTTTTTTTCTTGTCCATTGAGGAACACGTGAAGGCCCTAACCTTTAGGAAGTCCAAAGCAGTTCAACTTGAGGGGGGAGAAGCAAAGGAAACAAATATTAACATACCCTAAAAAAAATGGGGGCTACCTGGAGCACTAACAGTTGCCTTGTATTAAAGGGGAGGGGAGAGGGGAGAAAGCAATGGCTGAGAGACACAATTTCATACGTCAAACCACCTCCAAAGAATGAAGGGAAAGTCCTTTTAGGTGATTTAGATGTCCTTTAGACGGGATTTATCAAAAATGAGCAGATTTGCACTGCAACCAATCAGCTTCTTTGTCTCATTTTAAAATCTTACCTGAGCAAACTGGAGAGAGAGAGAGAGAGATGATAATTGGGTTGCCGTGGGCAACTGCTCCAGTTGATAGATTCCCCCCATGGAGTCTTTGACAAGTTACTAACAATGTTACTCAGACAGGGCTGGATGTAAGGCCTGGATCTGCACTAACAAATAGGGATCCTATAGTCATGAATTTCATTATAGGAGAGCAATTCTTCCAGCTATACGGCTCTCATTAGGATCACCTACCTAGACATTTCAGAGGGGATCCAGGTAAATGAAAGCTGCGCCATACAAATAGAATCCAAATATTTTAGTCTAAAGGTGCCCATACACTGCTCAATTCTCATGCGGGAAATCCCGCGATCGTACGAGAATCGAGCAGTGTGAACGGAGACGTGCGACCGTTTCTACTGTACGGTCGCACGTCTTCCGTCGAACCAGCATGTTCGAAAACCAGCCGGGAATCGTACGATTCTCGGCTGGTTGGAACGGTGCTCGGAAGACAAATGCTGAACGGGCCGGTGTGCGCACACGCACACTGCCCGTTCAGCATTGCGGTCATCGGGGGTGGGCTTGCGATGATCGAGAGTGCAATCTGCCTGTCCAAGATGGGCAGATCGTACGGGTTTTTTTTATCCCTGTACAACCATCGCAAGACTAAGGTCTTGCGATGGTTGTAGAGTGTATGGCCACCTTAAATAAAGAAAATCCAACACTTCAGGGACCAGCCTGTGCACCCTTCATCAGTGCTTAGGATATTATGTGGTGAAAAGTCCGGACATCACCCGACTGCTGGAAAGGATTAGCCTAGCAGACAATAGTGTTGCTGGCTCTCATTGCAAGAAGACTTTTCAGACATCCCTGAACGTCATCTGACTTCTAATTTTTAGAGCTCCAGTCCCAAATGACTATCATTTGGTTCCCATACACCCAAAAAGTATGAATAACCCAGGCTAGAGACCTGCGTCCTATACAAAGGTAATGGAATTGTAATGTAATGACAGTACATGGTAAAAGCATCTCCAACACCAGCCACTTCCGGGTTTGCTTCTGAGTCCAACACATGTAAGCTAAACCCAGTGGTGACCCAATTGATCTGACAGCCAGCACAAGTGTCTGAAAAGCAGGTTCTGCACCGCAGGCAGATTAAGTTTAATGGAAAACATGGAAGAGACAGTAAAAGGATCCACACTTCATAATATTCTTCATCAACTGCGTGTGTTACAAATATCCCATTCAACAATACAAATATATTTTTTTACCTTGCATCCAAAACAGTAAGGATTAAAGTGGGCCTGTCATCCAATCAAGATCGAGGGAACCATGTTTTGGATGGGTCCACTATGGCAGAGAATGCTACCCAACTGTGACTGGAAGACAGGTACACCTAGTGCAGCATCATTGTATTGCATCAACCATATGGCACAAACCACAAAACATGATTTTAAAGTGAAAATGTGCTTTGTCCATGCAGGGCCAAGTAACAAACTTGAAGCATAGACCACCGTATTGGAGGGTGGTCTCTACCAGGCACCCAGAGCGGTCACATGGGGAGGGGGGAGAGTACTCAGTCCTGTGTGTGCTTTAGCCCTCATTCACACGGGTTAACAGCCGGCCCATAGACATCCATTCTGCGTGCACGGTCGTATCGGCCTCTCCCGGGAAGGACAGGTTGCTGCCTGTCCTTCTCTTTGGGAGTCCGCTGCCTGGCGCTCACCTGAACTGCATGTCCATACTTGTACGCTGACAGGATGGATCCTGTCTGCATCCGAGCAGGGACACCCGTATGGACGTGCAGTTCGGGTGAGCGCACGGCGGCGTACTGCCATAGAGAAGAACAGGCTGCTGCATACAATCACACGCAGCACCTGTCCTTCCCGGGAGCGGCCCGATACAGCCATGCACGCAGCACGGATCTATATAGGCCGGCTGTTACTCATGTGAAAGGGGGCTTAAAGTCGCACATTGAAGCTTTCATAGAGCTTCCTTGTATCACTCCCTGAGCCCAATTGGATGGGGTTGGGTGCAAAGGCAAGACAAGTATAAGCTGCTGGTGGAGATTTCATTAAACTGACCCTGTTCTTTGCTCTGCATGGGCAAAACACAAAAGTTAAATTAAAGGCTAAGTCCTCCAAAAATGTGATATTTCAATCATAGATAAAGACTGGTGGTACATGTGTCTCTCAGGTCCTGGGAAATCCAACCATGAGATCTCCCGGCACAATTTTAGGCTCTGTTGCTACAAACTGGTCTATTTACACTCCTCATGCTGCATTATTCATAATCTGAGAAAAAACTAAAAATCAGTGCAAGTCATAGAAGACTCTTAAATTGTCTGCAGTAGAACATGGTTTTTGTACTCACCATAAAATCCTTTTCTTGGAGTCTATTGAGGTGCACAGGAAGACCTCAACCTTTGGGTTACACTGCAGCCTGCAGAAGGATTGAGCACGGGCAAACTAAAAACCTGTAGGTCAGCCCAGGATAACCCCTCCACCTCCTCCTACCAGCATACCTGATTATTAACAGAGTGACGCGGAAATCTTCAACCTTCAGGACCTCCAAAAGCAGTCCTGACTGAGGGATGTACAACACAGCAAACAATCACTAGCAGGTCCAAGAAAATAACAGAACTGCGACCTGCCTGCAGCCCAAAGCCACCCGAAGGACTAAATGCTTGAAGCTGGCATGTGAACAGAAGACAAGATGGCAGCTGTGCATAGAGAAACAGATACTTGCTACCTTAAAGTCAAAGCACTACTCACCGATCTCATAGAGTGTGCATTGAGAGGAGATGGTGGAACCCAAATCATTGAGAACCATAAAAGGGTCAATAAAAGGTATGTCTAAGCCACTTAACGATGATGGAATGGGAAGCCAGTGCGCCCTTTCGTGGCCCACCCAGGATTACAAAAAGAGAACGCGAGAGATATACTTGCGCAGCCTAAATCACATCCACACAAAAATCTGCCCTTATGTGAACCAAAGCTGGAAAGAGGGATGGAAGAACAAATGTCCTGGTTGAGGTGAAAGGCAGGAATACAACCTTACAGCCTATGCCGGATGATGAACCCAAAGAGGATTCTCTACAAGCTAAGGTTTCCTGCCCAAACACCACAGAAGTCATAGCTGCAAGAAAAAACACCTTGTAGGCAAAAGTATAGAGAAGAATGTCAGGGGAGAGGCCAACAGTCTCTGAAATAGACCCTTGAAGGTGCTGAGGGCCAAACGGTGGTCCAGATCCAGCGGCAGAAAGTAGGGGGACTCAGCCCAAACAGACGCCTGGGGTGGAAGCCCCAACTCCCTCACCAAGTGTAGTATGCCTTTCATGTTCGATGACAGACCTTGTAGGACGTAGACTTCCTTGCTTTTAGAATTGTAGTAATCACAGACTCACAGATGCCTCCAAGGATAAGATAAAGGAAGAAGATTCCATTAAGGAAATACATACATCGGGGTGTACTGATCCCACAGAGCCACCAGAGCATCCACTGCCTCCACTAGAGGATCCCTGTATCTGGATACAAACCTGGACAGTTTGTTGCTGAACCTGGACACCAGGAGGTCCACATCTGGCATCCCCCACCTGCAATGCAGGTCCTGAAATATCTCCAATATCTACCAAGGCTGCACATAGGCTGGAACACAAGTGTTCTGCCCAGGACGGAATCCATTCTACCTCCCTGGCACAGCTAGGCTGAAGGAGGCTACCATCAGGACAGTCATGCAAAAGTAGAGAGTCAGACGGCTTCTGAACTGAAGAGTTCACATTTGGGACGGAAGAGTCTGAAGTTTCTCCTGTAGAATGAATACTCCGGCCTGAGATCTATCTAGGACTAGACCCAGATACTCCTAGCAACAAGTCAGTTCCATCAAAGATTTTGAAAATCCAGGATCCATCAGAACCGTTTTAATGCCTGGAAACACAATGTCCGACAGAGCCTTGCTGACTGCTCCCTAAACAGGAGGTCCTCTGAGAATGCTACAAGAGCACATCAGGGCCAATACTGGGGGCATCACCTTGGTGAACACCCAAGGTGCAAATGAAAGGCTGAAGGGCAGGGCTATGAGCAATTATTGCAGGGACCCTACGGCAAAGCGTAGGAAATCACTGATAACCTGGAAAGATGGAGACAGCATATTTCATGTTCACAGAAGTCAGGAAGACTCCCTGGTGAAGGGCGACAGATATGGTGCATTCCATGTAAAATTTTTGTAAGCGAGACAAAAGTTTAGGCAAATGCCCCTTTTGGGATTGGGAGCAGTGAACAGGGTGGAGTAAACCCAGGAACCATTCTACTGCATGAACTGGGGCGGCAACAACACCTTGATCCAGATGACTCGAGAGGTCCCGATGGAGATCTATGTGTGTGGAGAAGGAAACAGGAAGTCTTGGAATATCACCTCCTGCACTTAAGCTTCTGAGATGCAAGCATTGGCAAACGTCAACAGAGGGCCCCCCCTCCCGACTATAAAATGTCCAGCGCACCTTAACGCAAAGGAAGGCTCGTCGTGAGGATTTGGCAGACTTTGAATGCGGTTAGTAGGCAAGACTCAGATGGCCAGATGTGTCCAAAGTCACTGTAGATTCTTTGCAAGCAGGAGCAACAGTGGGGATATGCTTCCATGACCCTGGGCTGGACTACAGTTTGTTTGCCAATGTCCAATCCTCCTTTAGGCAGCAGTATAACCTGAAGGTTAAAGTCATCATGTGGCCCTCAATAAATGAGAAGAAAAAAAAAAGTAGTTCAACTTTCCCCAATCTACTAAAAAAACTAAACAGTTCTAGATGGAGTGACCAATCAGCCAGATTAAGTGTGATAACTATCAGCGTCTCTGCAATTTTTGCTGTTCGTGTTCGAAAATCTCCATTGGTCGATCACAAACTCTTTGGCAATCTCCCCCCTACATGGAAGAAGATTGATACAATTGTGCAATGCAGTTTTCACACTTATCCACTACTGTGTAGCAAGCCTGATAGGGGCTCCATGATCATAGGCAATTCCAACTTCAGAAACTGAATGTAGCCCCCTGCCTTGCTCTAGGATTATACACCTCCAACTTTCTAGCACCGGAAATAACAAAAACAAAGTTAAAAAGATTACACACACACAGGCATCTATTTATCAAGAACTTCCATAGCCCCACACCTTGCAAATATCTGACCATTTGTACTGTGCAAATAATGACAATTCCCTATGCTCCCCAGCGCCATCTAGCGGCCATAACGCAGCATTACATTACACTACATTCAAACTGAAGGGGAAAGTACATTAAGAATGTTCGTTTTTGTCATTCGCACAGAACGGACGTTTACAGATATTCGCAGGCTGAAGCGCCCTGTGAATGGTTTAAAAACAGACCCCATTGTATATTTTACTTAGGATTCTGTCAGGTAGCTTCACATATTCCAGGAGGTCTCCCTAGCCCTGCCATGGAGTCTTTCTTGCTCTGACTTTTCATTGTGTAAGATATACTAAAATCTAGTGCGTGACCCCCCCTTTCACAACGGCTGCTGGCAGAGCCCAACATTTTAGTATGGAGACCTCACCATTGGACTGAAAACAAGAACACAATCACCAGCATCCAATCACTGCAAGATCAGTTTTTGGTGGACTTCCCCTAAAATTTAGGTTTGCCAAACAAATAAGAAATCTCCCGTTATCCTCTGTGTGAAAGAGGTGAATCCTTTAACCTGGCGAATGCTGGTGGTTTTCCCTCCTCAGTACAAAAGCTGAATGTTTAGGTCACTTTAACACAACTTCTTACTACAGGCTACCTTCAATGGTTTAAAGAGCCTTCCCCTCACTCCCTGCCTTATGGATATCAGGACCAAGATGGGAAATAAAAAGGAAACCTCTCCAATGGCATCACAGACGAAAACACAAGTTGTGGCTGGAGTTCCACTTAAAAGCAAACCTAAGTCCAGACATTAAGCATCCCCCACCGCCACAAAATTATGTAAGAACTATTGCAGTGTCCCTCTACTCAAATGTGAAGAAAAAGCTCTGGCAACAGCCTTGCTGGGACAGATAAAAGAGTAGAAGGGTTGAGACAGCTTATCCCTGGTGAAAACAATGCTCCAGCTCCCTTTCTGAGCTAGACACGGATGACAAGACTCACATGATCTCTGCTCACAGACAGAATCAGTGCTCCGACCGGCTCCAGGACTGGTTAGCATTTGAATTCTTCTCCCAAATTCTAGCAAGACCATGAAACAGCTTTATTTGAACATTTCATCAGAGGGCCACTCTACACACATTTTATATATAAAAGCCCCGATACCTCTTCACAAGAAATGTGACATTTATATCACTTTGCTGTATTGCTGGAACATTGTGTACTACGGGATCATCAGACAGGAAATCAGCTGTATTTCAAAAAATATTGCTTCCTGCTATGACACCTTAGCTGTAAATGTAACTTCTGAAAATCTACCACAATGTGCAAATATTTATCCATTTATGGAAACCGCCGGATGGAAAGAATATTGTTTCAGTGATTACAAACGGCACAGGATGGAAAAAGTCCCAAAATCATCCGCTAGACCAGACTTGTAGTGTTCATCTGTGTTTAAAAAAAATTAAACACAAGTGATTGGATTTTTTTTTTTCTTTTTAAATATTTTATGTTAAAAATACAGCAAAAAAATATGGAGTTCAATTAGGAAAAGAAAAATACTTTGCGCGTAGCAGTGCGATATTGATTTGCATTGTTCCTGGTGGCTCTCCTCTCACGAAGCAGGTTAAAGGATCCCAGTCCCGTTCCTTGGCTCCTGATAAGCCTCAGTTGTTTAAAAGGGCAAAAATCATACTGCAAGGAAAGATAGAATTATACAAGTTTAGTACATGTTCATCTCCAACAATAGCAGGGCCCCCCCTGCTACATCTCCAACAATAGCAGGGCCCCCCCTGCTACATCCCCAACAATCGCAGGGCCCCCCCTGCTACATCCCCAACAATCGCAGGGCCCCCCCTGCTACATCCCCAACAATCGCAGGGCCCCCCCTGCTACATCCCCAACAATCGCAGGGCCCCCCCTGCTACATCCCCAACAATCGCAGGGCCCCCCCTGCTACATCCCCAACAATCGCAGGGCCCCCCCTGCTACATCCCCAACAATCGCAGGGCCCCCCCTGCTACATCCCCAACAATCGCAGGGCCCCCCCTGCTACATCCCCAACAATCGCAGGGCCCCCCCTGCTACATCCCCAACAATCGCAGGGCCCCCCCTGCTACATCCCCAACAATCGCAGGGCCCCCCCTGCTACATCCCCAACAATCGCAGGGCCCCCCCTGCTACATCCCCAACAATCGCAGGGCCCCCCCTGCTACATCCCCAACAATCGCAGGGCCCCCCCTGCTACATCCCCAACAATCGCAGGGCCCCCCCTGCTACATCCCCAACAATCGCAGGGCCCCCCCTGCTACATCCCCAACAATCGCAGGGCCCCCCCTGCTACATCCCCAACAATCGCAGGGCCCCCCCTGCTACATCCCCAACAATCGCAGGGCCCCCCCTGCTACATCCCCAACAATCGCAGGGCCCCCCCTGCTACATCCCCAACAATCGCAGGGCCCCCCCTGCTACATCCCCAACAATCGCAGGGCCCCCCCTGCTACATCCCCAACAATCGCAGGGCCCCCCCTGCTACATCCCCAACAATCGCAGGGCCCCCCCTGCTACATCCCCAACAATCGCAGGGCCCCCCCTGCTACATCCCCAACAATCGCAGGGCCCCCCCTGCTACATCCCCAACAATCGCAGGGCCCCCCCTGCTACATCCCCAACAATCGCAGGGCCCCCCCTGCTACATCCCCAACAATCGCAGGGCCCCCCCTGCTACATCCCCAACAATCGCAGGGCCCCCCCTGCTACATCCCCAACAATCGCAGGGCCCCCCCTGCTACATCCCCAACAATCGCAGGGCCCCCCCTGCTACATCCCCAACAATCGCAGGGCCCCCCCTGCTACATCCCCAACAATCGCAGGGCCCCCCCTGCTACATCCCCAACAATCGCAGGGCCCCCCCTGCTACATCCCCAACAATCGCAGGGCCCCCCCTGCTACATCCCCAACAATCGCAGGGCCCCCCCTGCTACATCCCCAACAATCGCAGGGCCCCCCCTGCTACATCCCCAACAATCGCAGGGCCCCCCCTGCTACATCCCCAACAATCGCAGGGCCCCCCCTGCTACATCCCCAACAATCGCAGGGCCCCCCCTGCTACATCCCCAACAATCGCAGGGCCCCCCCTGCTACATCCCCAACAATCGCAGGGCCCCCCCTGCTACATCCCCAACAATCGCAGGGCCCCCCCTGCTACATCCCCAACAATCGCAGGGCCCCCCCTGCTACATCCCCAACAATCGCAGGGCCCCCCCTGCTACATCCCCAACAATCGCAGGGCCCCCCCTGCTACATCCCCAACAATCGCAGGGCCCCCCCTGCTACATCCCCAACAATCGCAGGGCCCCCCCTGCTACATCCCCAACAATCGCAGGGCCCCCCCTGCTACATCCCCAACAATCGCAGGGCCCCCCCTGCTACATCCCCAACAATCGCAGGGCCCCCCCTGCTACATCTCCAACAATCCCAGGGCCCCCCCTGCTACATGTCCAACAATCCCAGGAACTGAACTGGAAAGTGAGCTGAATTGGAGTATTTTTCCCAATCAGCTATGTTGTCCTTGATTGTTCACTTCTTCTCCAAACTCTTCACCCTTTTGTGAATAACCCTGTGAGTTTTGGCTTCAGCTTCACTTTAACTCTATACTGCCAGCAAGTATAGAACAGATTATAAATGGTTCAGGTTCGAAGCTCCATGGGCTCAGGCACCTCTAGATACATGTATTTGCATACGTTTAACGTTTATCTGTCACACATAGGCAGCCGTTATGTCAGATAAATTATAACTCAGCATTCCCAATTACAGTGACCCCAGTGATGCAAGGATTTCAGAGGTTTAAATCTTCAGAATGATGGAGGAGTTTCAATAAGTGAACGGCATTCAAAGCAGACTAATCTTCCCTACAGTTTCTATGAATTCACGAGTGAATGACGGCAACATTATGTTGCTTTAAAGTGATTGGACTCACCTGTATAAGTAAATGAAGAAGCACAGTAGATGGAATCCTAACTTGATCATAGCCTCCTTCATGTGAGACTTTAACTGTCCACGATTGTGAATCTCTGTTGGATCAAACACTCCCAAATTTCCACTTGGTACCATGATAAACCTATGCACAGATCAAAACAAAAAACAAATATTAGCCAATGGGACATGACGACAGTCTTCTTATATCATCAGAATGGTCAAAACACTACAGCTAAAATGTTCACCTGATATAAATTACAATCCTACCAAAACTGATCTTTTCATGTGAACCCCAACCTCCTTTTTCCACCCAAAAAATTAAATAATCAGCGAAAATCATTGGATAGGAAGGCTTACTGAAGGGTTACAGAAGACATCCATACATTTAAAATAGGGCTGCAACAACTAATCGACATAATCGATTATTGAAAAAGTTGTCAACTTTTTCAATAATCGATTAATCGGCTTTTGATAAGGTGCCCCTGTCCACAGCTCCACACACGTTGCCCGCCCCACCTCACGCTCGCCGCTGCCAGACGCTACCGCATCCACGCTACACATGCCGCACCTCCTCCCCGCCTCACGCTCACCGCCCGCCCACACCAAAGATCGGCACAGGGACGCGGGGAGAAGTAGTAAGGAGGAGAAGGTGGGGGGGGATGACAGCGGCAGATAGACAGGCCCGATCTCAGAAGCAAGTTGCTGGAAGACTGCTCAGGTACGACTGCACTTTCCCTCTATAATATTAAACTCTAATTTTCTATCCGATTAATCGAACTTAATAATCGGCTAACTAATCGATTTTGAAAATAATTTTCAAAAATATAAATTTAAAAACACATTCTGTCAATTGATATATTCTAACAGGGAAGACCAGGGACCACATTCTATGTAAATATAGATTTCCACAATGTAAGAATAAAAAGGAGGAAACATTTGCTCACCGGTATATATTCCATGTCGCTACAGGAAGATTCAAACAGAAGATGAACCAGTGCAATGACACCAACATCAACACAGTTACCAGTGTGTGAGCGATCAGCTCTGGCACTATCCACTACAAAAAGAGAAAAGAGAGAATATTGCTTCATAAGAAGTCACAACATTTACAACTGAGCCCTCGTTCACACCTGAACGTTTTGTAGCACGTTCTACGCTCGACGAACGCTCTACAAAACGCTCAAAAATATAAATCCCATTGTATTCAATGGTCTCGTTCCCACCTTGGCGTATTTCCGCCCGTCCCTAACGCGCTACAAAACGTCCCACGCCTGAAAAGGTACAGGTACTACTTTGGGCCGTTTTGTTGCGCGTTTCCATTGGGATACAGCCAAGTAGCCTTTGGAAACGCGCAACTTTACCGCGAATTGCGGTAAAAAACGCGCGACAGACGCGCATATGCAATAAGCCTAGGTGTGAACGAGACCTAAATCTCCACATTACTAAAGAGCGTGAAAGGAGGAAGCTCCTCTTGGAGCTACTGTATCCTGGAAGTCGGCTCCACCAGCTGTCCAAATACCTGAACAGTCCCTGAACCTGACTGGATGTAGGTGCCGTTCAGCCGACAATTTTCTGCCCAAACCCTTTGATTTCACAATCAAAGTATGTTGGGTGGAAGCTGGCAGACAGGGTAACCCACCGAGCCAATATCAGCCGGATCACTAAGAAAGGCTGAAATTCACTCCATATATACCCAGATTAAGTCCCCATTCACACAGAAGTGTGATCTTTGACACACATTCACAAAATGTGCACAAACGCAGAACACGCTTACAGTGGTATAACAAGTTAATGGCACCCCAAATGCGTCCGGGCAAACGCCTTTTTCAACACGAAAGAAACATGGAGCGCATGTCGCAAAACTACTTTCCCGGATTTGGCGTGCATCCAGGGACCCAGTCAAATCACTGCTACCAATACTCACTGAAATGAGTAGCGGGGAAGCGCATTCGCAGGTATTTGTTTTTGTGTTTGCAGAACTCGGGTCTAAATAGGGGCCAAGGGGTTCCTGACGGGCAAGTTTTAAGCATTTTCTAATAGCTCTGAAGCTCAACTGTACATTCTTAATGGCCATTGAGGCTGCACGTGGCAGTGATGGGCCAACAAAAATCTGTGAGCGCGTTGGGGCGGGGGGCTTAGTGGCAAGCTTGAGTACCACTGAGAAGCTTTGACTGTCAGAACAACCGATATTTGGCTGTAACAGGAAGGTGTGGGAGGATTCTGCAGGTATGATACTCTCTAAGTACTTGCATCCCATACCATGCAGCAGCAAACTGAATGACATACTTGTTTCAGGTCAGTGGCTCAAAGTATTTGAAGTATAACCAAAGTAAAAAAGTTAATTTCAAATTTGGAGGAGAGAGTGGTGAGGTTAATACCACTGTCAGGTTTTTATTTCTGTCTATGTCATTATTAGGGAGACTGACCCTCTCTCACCAATGTCACTGGGAATGAAAATATGGATACATTCTAAATTTTGAGTTGCCAGCAGAGCTGGAATAGAGGCGGAATCTTCCAATGGGGACACATCTTCTCGTGACAACAGAGGAATTTCCTTACACTGGAAAGATATCCTCTCACTTCCTGTTGAGTCTATAGGACAGAAAGTGAAGGAAAATCTCCTTGATGGGACACAGATTGGGGGGCGGGGGGGGGCTGTGGTTTTAACCCTCCTCTACTCTTATACTTTATAGAGTTGCACCAAAATGAACATTTCAAAACATGAAACGAAAAAACAAACGTCAGGCGAAACCAAAAATAGGATTTTGGTACTCACCGTAAAATCCTTTTCTCTCCGTTCATTGAAGGACACAGGGAACAGATCGGAGATCATGTACTGTAGGGTAATATCGCCACCTGCAGGAGAAGGACGCTAGGCACAAAAAAACTAAAGACCAATTACAGCCTAGGGGTGGCCCCTGCCGGTGGCCAAACCCCCCACCTACTGAGAAGTCTCCAGTTTAGTAACAAGCAGTAAAGGAGTACACACCCACATAGAGGGGCGGGCCCTGTGTCCTTCAATGAACGGAGAGAAAAGGATTTTATGGTGAGTACCAAAATCCTATTTTCTCTCCCGTTCATTGAAGGACACAGGGAACAGATCGGAGATCATGTACTGTAGGGACGTCACAGAGCAGTACCAAAAAAGAGGGGTGGGCCAACAGAAACAACAAACCCAACTAAACAAAAAAATACCCTCAAACGGCCGCCTGCAACACTTTGCTCCCCAAACCAGCATCCGCAGAAGCCAAAACATCCACCTTATAAAACTTGGCAAAGGTGTGAACAGAAGACCAAGTCGCGGCCTTACAAACCTGAGAAACGGAGGCACCATGACGGAAAGCCCAAGATGCCCCAACAGCCCTTGTAGAATGGGCCGTAACAGAAAAAGGAGGCTCACGCCCCACCCGGACAACACTTGCTAGAAGAATCCTCTGAAAAAAATCAGGAAGAAGCAGGTAAGAATACCGAGGAAAATTCTTAGCTCCTTACTCCTGACGCTAGGCAAAAAACTGGAGACTTCTCAGTAGGTGGGGGGTTTGGCCACCGGCAGGGGCCGCCCCTAGGCTGTAATTGGTCTTTAGTTTTTTTGTGCCTAGCGTCCTTCTCCTGCAGGTGGCGATATTACCCTACAGTACATGATCTCCGATCTGTTCCCTGTGTCCTTCAATGAACGGGAGAGAAAGTTTTTTTTTTGTATTTGTATTTTTTTTACTTTACTGTTGGCGGCTTTGTGGAAATAGTGGGGGTCTAAAACAGACCCCTGATATTTCCCTTTTAAAAATAGAAAAAGATTGAGAACACAGAGTCCTCAATCTCTTTTTCTGCAGACCCTTTCATAAATGAAAAGGAATCCTCTATACTGAGTGCTACTGTTCATTCATAAACTGAGGACAGAGTATGTTTACTATAACCACAATCATGAATGAACAGGAGGTGATGTAGATCGCTTCCCATTCATTCATAATTGAGGACGAAGTAAACATACCATGTCCTCAGTTATTTACAAACACTCAGCGATCACTGATCACTGACTGCTTGTACCCGCTCTCCATCATGACACGCTGTCACAGGAGGCGAAGAGAGCTCGATCTGACAGCCGACTGCTCCCCCGACACCACTCAGCCTCCTGTCTCCGCCCCCGCATCGCCACTCTCCCGATCTGTCACAGGAGGCTGAGCGGTGCGGGAGGAGAGGCGCCGGCCGCTCACAGCGCTCTCCTCCTCCCACACTACTTCCTGTGACAGTTTCTCTCCTCCCAACTGGGACACAGAGCAGCGGGGAGGAAAGAAAGCAGAGACGCACCGCTATTTCAGCCAAACAAAATTGCACTTTTGGCATTTTGCTAAAAGTGCAATTTTTGGCCGAAATTTCCAAGCATCCTTAATACTTTAACTGTACTAATAAAGTTTCTGGTTTCAAAATGACCTTGAAAACGCACCTTTAAACGGTAGCACCGCTTAAAAAAAATAATCTTTAAAAACAATGCAATGTACACGGATCACCCCGAGAGGATTGATTCTTCTCCACAAAAGTAGAGTTATTTTTTAAAACTCTCATTCTGTGAGAGGAGATGATTTACTACTTATCAGTAAGAGCCAAAACATTTGCCATGACAACAAATACCTTATTCAGCTTGGAGCAACAGGAGCGAGCATTGATGTAGTCACATTCCAAGTCCGAGAGAGTGATAATCTAAAACGCAAAGTTAAGGACAATATTGCTTTTATCTAGAAGAGCCGCATTGTAAATGGGAATGAAGTATTACACCCTGGAATGTGCAAAGTACAGGCCACGTATTGTGCAAGAAGGATGACTGGCATAGTGACACAATCACAACTCTATGCTGCTTTCTTCAATGAACTGGTTGAAGACGCCAAGCTGCTCAGCCATTGCAACATTCACCAAACACATATTTATAGAGGATATCAGATAGAAGGTATCCAGCTGGACTTGTTATGTAATACTGAAGATGTCTCACCGCTCCTCCAAGTACACCTCACCTCTAATCAGTGTCAGGAACCCAAGAAGGATTAAGCTCTTGTTTTGTCTAGTAAGCCAAAACAAAAAAAAGTCATACACACCCAAACCGCAATCCGGGCTGGCTCCTATCCCCCCTCTCCTCTGGCAGTCTAAGGTCCTATGAGTCATCACGCTCTATACAGTGTAAAGGAGGTGAGGACACAGAGGGACACTCCATCAATTAAGCTCCCTGGGCAAAATGAGTGCTTAACCCTTGCAGAGCGGGGGTAGTTAAGATTTTTTTGCCCCAAGGTTTTTAAATTGTCCAAGAACAGGATGGGAGGTGCGAGAATCTGTGACGCCCCCTCGTCTTAACATATGATGACACCACAATCAGGCTGAAGAGTGATACACCGATAATATAATATATATACACACACACACACACACAAAGACTAACACGCCAACAATTATACAAACAGCACGCCATTGATACACACACAAAGCTGAAATGCTGGACATACATATATGAGAAAAAAGGGACTCATGATTACACACAACTGATGGGGAACATGGCAGTAATACGCATGCACACACAACTGAGGGGTGACATGTCTGGCATACACATTTGAAAGACAAGTGACATGCCAGTATTACACACACACACGCAATGATGGGTGACATGCTGGACATACACATGAGACAAGTGACATGTCAGTATTACATACACATGCCAATGATGAGTGACATGGTGGACATACACATGCAAGAGACAAGTGACATGCCAGACATACACATGAGACAAGTGATATGCCAGTATTACACACACATGCAATGATGGGTGACATGCTGGACATACACATATGAGAGACAAGTGACATGTCAGTATTACACACACACACACACACACAGCAATAATGGGTGACATGCTGGACATACACATATGAGAGACAAGTGACATGTCAGTATTACACACACACGCAATGATGGGTGACATGCTGGACATACACATGAGAGACAAGTGACATGTCAGTATCAGTCCCTGGCCACACCGAGGCATTTTGTCGCTCAAAGCTAAGCGCAAATAAAATGTGAAGACGTGGAATCCCATTCATCTCTATGGCCCCCTTTGCACACCGGAGCAGAAAATCGCCCGTCGCGGGATATGGACTACTTTCTAGTCTCATAGATTGGAATGGGAAAGTTTGAGCAACAAAACACCTGGGTGTGATCGGAGCCTTACATACAACCAACATGTGATGTGTTTATCATACGTGTACCGGAGACAAGGGACATGTATGTCAGTGATACACACACACAACTAATGCATTACATACCAGACATAGAAGAGGCACACCTGTACTACACACTTGACGGTGCACTACCATAAAGAGCTAAAGTAAGGCTGCTGCCCATGGCAACCCCCCCTGGGTGCTACCTTCCCCCAACTCTCACGAAGCACTCCACACACGGAAAGGGCCGCAAGTCACAGTCGTTCATTCCCACACACCCCGGCCAACACGGAACCGGCTCGGAAAGCACACCACGGACTCCAAGCCGGCCCTCCACACAAAGGATACGAAGTAGACGGAGAGGAAGATAAGGGCGCAGCAGTCTATCAGAGAGAAGATGAAGAGCGCGGCCTCCATCCCGCCAGCCGCTCCCTCACCCGCACCACGTGACCTGGAGACCTGTGTGGGAAGCTCGTCACGTGACCCCCAGGATCCGGTCGGAGAGCAGCGGTGGAGGGCGGGGCGAAGTTACTATGGCTACCGCTCAGCCGCATCACCGGGGTCTCTGCGCTGCCATTGGCAGCTGTGGCCCCAGAGACCACCGCGCGGTGGCGCTCCCAATCTCTTTTGCATCACTGTAGACACAATTGTTTTTATTCTCAGTGCTCGGGACGGTTTGGAGGAAATAGCCATAAACACTTGCCTAGAAAGGACCCAATGAAACAGGCAGTGTAACGGACACCCATGTCTGTGAATATAAATTAAACTGACAGGGCTATTCATAAATATGGAACAATCTAGGCCAAAATAGCTGAACTGGGAAGAGAGCTGAATTGAAGAAGTTTTGCAAATCAGCTATTTTGGCCTAGATTGTTCACTTCTCCAAACTCTTCACCCTTTTGCGAATAATCCTGTAAAGTACACGGCTTGTTCTGTTCTGTGATGAGATGAAAAGCTGCAAGGGTTGCTGTATTCCTCTGGGAAGGTAACTTTTGCCACTACCGTTCTAGTCAGGCACATACGTGGACAGCCCGCGTAAAGGCGCTTTCTGTCAGGCACATCTGAGGACACCCTCAACTGAGGACCCCGGCCCACATGTGAGCTGATGATAGAACTCCACTTCCGGGGGTAGACTGATACCGGTATCAATATGAAGATTCGCCCGGTGTCACCGGGGATAGACCGGAGGCTGAAACACCGGCTCACCCAGGTACGGGAGGGCCTACACGCTGTGTGTATAGACACCGCTGGCTCTATACAACACCCGCAGGGCCCCATGCTGCTTTCACTCTATTATTTCTGTGTGTTTGATTATAACTAGGGAACCGAAAAGCTCGATTCCCAAAGCAGGAATGGCTGCGTTTCCTGTATAACGATTCCTGTGCGAAAAGCTTCCAGCGTGCCGCCAGTCTTCATTATTCAGCTTTATAGTGTTACTGAGGCCACCTCTTCAGAGTCCATGAGCCCAGTGTACACAAAACCATTGCAAATTATCTTCCTAAGAAAACATACCGCCCAGCAATTTACACTTTACTTTAAAGGAGAACTATGAGGTGAGTGCTTTTCACTCACCTCATAGTTCTAGCCGACCTGTGACAATGAGACTGTCACAGGTCGGCTCAGTAGATCGGGAGGTGAGCGAACATATACCGGCGTTCGCTCACCTCTCGATGCTGTCACGGGAGAGCCGTGACAGGGGACGGGCTGGATTCCCCCCTCCCCGCTCTGATCCGCCAGCGTTGACTGGCGGAACGGGAGGGGGCGGGTACAGCTGGCTCTGCCTCTAGATAGGCAGAGCCAGCTGTCACTCACGCAGCTGGGCGGATCCAGACATAATTGTAGCTCGCGGTATACGGAGCTTAGGGTAACGGGAGGACGCTAGTTTGTGTCCTCCCGTTACCCTAAGGAGAACTATGGGGAAAAGCCCTGACCCCATAGTTCTCCTTTAAAACTTAGTACTGTAGCTGCAGCACTGTTGTGCAAGTCATCCTCAAAGTTCACAGCGGAAACACCGATGTCCATCCCTAAGCCAACTTAGCCGTCCCCCTCTCCCAACAGTGATTCAGCAGCACAGCTCCCCCCTCCCAACAGTGATTCAGCAGCTCGGCTCTCTCCCCTCCCAGCAGTGATTCAGCAGCTCAGCTCGCTCCCCTCCCAGCAGTGATTCAGCAGCTCAGCTCTCTCCCCTCCCAGCAGTGATTCAGCAGCTCAGCTCTCTCCCCTCCCAGCAGTGATTCAGCAGCTCAGCTCTCTCCCCTCCCAGCAGTGATTTAGCAGCTCAGCTCTCCCTTCCCAGCAGTGATTTAGCAGCTCAGCTCTCCCCTCCCAGCAGTGATTCAGCAGCTCAGCTCCCCCCTCCCAGCAGTGATTCAGCAGCTCAGCTCCCCCCTTCCAACAGTGATTCAGCAGCTTAGCTCCCCCCTCCAAGCAGTGATTCAGCAGCTCAGCTCTCCCCTCCCAGCATTGATTCAGCAGCTCAGCTCTCCCTTCCCAGGAGTGATTCAGCAGCTCAGCTCTCCCCTCCCAGCAGTGATTCAGCAGCTCAGCTCTCCCCTCCCAGCAGTGATTGAGCAGCTCAGCTCTCCCCTCCCAGCAGTGATTCAGCAGCTCAGCTCCCTCCCCCCCTCTCAGCAGTAACCCAGCAGCTCAGCTCCCCTCTTCCAGCAGTGACCCAGTAGCTCAATAATCCCTGCTCCTCCCTACCATTGGACACTCTGCAGCTCAGCACCCCCTCCCAGTGCTCCTTACTCACTGCTCCTCCCTACCAGTAGACACTCTTTAGCTCAGCATCCCCTCCAGCTGCTCCTTACTCCCTGCTTCTCCCTAGCAGTAGACACTCTGTAGCTCAGGTCCCCCTCCCAGCAGTGGTTCGACATCTCAAGCCCGGCACTGATTTAGCTGGTCAGCTCCTCCCCTCAACAGCAGTGACTCTTCAGCTCAGGTCCCCCTCACAGCAGTGACTCAATTTTTATAACTTTCTAATGTAAACACAGGGGGAACCGAGTTGAGCTGGAGGTGAGTTGGTCCACAGCGTCATCTGCTCCTAAGGTCAGGAATGGCTTGTTTTGCACTTCGCTCTCTACTTGTTCAGAATATGTACATACATGATTGCCCATCACCTGGCCTGGAATGAGTAAGAGCCTCACTCTAAGTAGCCCATGATTAATATCCTTATATATGCCATAGTAGGTGTTGTGTTTGCAGGCCTCCTTGTATCCGTTGTACTAAACACACAATTCTTTGGTTCCCTGTCTCTGTGTTGCAGTATTTGAGCAGTAATCGCTGTGGAGGATATGTGGATATTTCAGCTGTAGCTGCCGATCTGCAGAAAACATTCAGGTATCATTGACTTTACATAGCTCTGTACATAGAAACTGATCCAGACTTCTTTATTGATGGTGTATATCATGTGACCTAGTTACTCCTGACAAAGCTGTACGAATACCAGCTGATTCAGCAGAAACCTAAAATGTTTAAAGGAGAACTATGAGGGGGAGTGATTTCCACTCATCCTCACAGTAAGAGCCGACCTGTGACAAAGAAACTGTCACACGTTGGCTCTATCGATCGGGAAGTAAGCGAACACGTACTGCTGCTCGCTCACTTCTCGATCATGTCCCTGCAGAGAGTGGTGACTGTCAGTCATCCCTCCCCGCAGGGATTCCCCTCTCTGATCCCCCAGCGCTGACTGGAGGAACGAACGGGGCAGGGGGCGGGCACAGCTGGCTCTGCCTCTAGATAGGCAGAGCCCGCTGTCAATCAGCCAGCTCGCTGGATCTCGACAGTATTGTCAGGAACCGTCCTTCCTGCAGCGCTCTCAGGATATAGTGACCTATAGCTATACTGACGTCCTAAGTTAGGGCTTGTTCACACCAAGCGCGGAGCAGATCCAGAGCAGAGCAGGTGCAGACCGGATCAAAACTGCGTCCAATGTATTCCAATGGTATTTTTTGCTCCAGTTCACATCGCAGCATGCAGTTGCAGAGCAGATGAAAAAACTGCAGCAGGCCCTATTTTACCTGTTTTGGATCTGCTCTGGAACGCATCAAAAACGCATGCCAATGCCTGGAACACACTGAAAGCCCATTTTAAACTTTAAAAACTTTTTTATTTTTTTTTACCAAAAAGAGCTCGGAACGAATCAAAAACACGTCTAAAAGACTGACCGGATCTGCTCTGCATTTTGTGTGAACAAGGCCTGAAGCTTGGCTTTGGAATAGGGATATACCGATACTGGTATTGGTGCCAAAACAGAGTATTTGGGTGAGTACTCGTACTTGCCCAGATGCTCCGATACCCTAACTTCATAACTACCAAATCTCTCTCTGACCGGCAGTGTTGCGAGGGAGCATGGAGCCGGCTTCCCGACCAAACAGGAAGTCGGGCGGCGGGTCATGAACCGGCTTCCTGATTGGCTAGGAAGCTGGCTTCAATTGTTGCTAGGCAGCCTGGCTTCTGGGAACACCAATTGCAGAGTCTAGTGAATGTGCAGTGATGTTAAAACTTGTTCATGACACATAACTGTGTTTTACTTTCAGTGCCGAGTATGGAAGGAGGAAACGGAATGCCTTTAGAATCCAGGTAGAAAAAGGTGAGTCTTTTTGTGTAACGGGAGTAAAACATTGTTCCTTGTCTGCATTGGATTGTTTTTATATGTAATTACTTAGTCTCTGAATTCACCAGTTTTACTTCCTTTCAGTGTTCAAAGTTATCTGCGAGGAGAATGAGGATATAGAGGCCCTAGAAGGTTCACATTTGGCAAAGCGGGCAAGGAGGGGAGCTGATGGGTAAGCAATGTTGTATACAATTTAACCACTTCTTTCCCTTTTCATAGGAACTATAAATATTATTAATTGCAGGGTAACATCAGAATAAAATCTCTGCAACTAAAACTTATGTTGTTAAGCTTTCCATGAAGTGGGGAAGATTTCAAATCTTTGTCAGGTTTAACTTTTGCAGTCTGGGTCCAGTTGTGGAGATTACACTTCATTTTCTGTCCTGGATACACAGTAGGAAGTAAGAGGGCATCGTCCCTCTCACAGTTATTGCTGGACCAGGTGTCCCATTAGAAGATTTAACTGCACTTCTTGTTCTTGAGACTGCTGTACAGTTTTGGATTTCCTGTCACCTATTTTCTTGGTGACCGTGGTCAATGGGACCTATAATGAGGGTTAATCTCCCCACCCATGACACAGGCAGCAATGTAAACCTGGCACAAGGGTTCTTACCTTTCCACCTTAACTGTATCCAAAACTATTAAAACCTTGTCTCAGCTTTACATACACTTGAAGGCTGAACTCCAGACAAGCAGCTAAATACCCACTTGAAATAAATATCAGTTTTACCTGCAAAAGGATTTGTAATTTTGTCCAGCCAGTCCTGAAATTTATATAGCCCTGCCAGATGGTACAGTGGGGTTATTGATCAGAGTTTTCACTACTGCAGTTAAAGCCCCAATCTGGTCAGTAGAAAAATAAATGACCATTCCTGTGGGACCTTCCCGCACTGCAAGAGTTACATTTTTAAGTCTACGGATAAAGGTAGGGGCTGTAATAGTTACCTTACTCCTCACTCTGGTAGGCTTCCACCACACCGTGCAGCCGGTCCCCAAATGTGCTTTTCTTAGGTTCATGGTCTGTAGGTTGTGCCATGACTTTATGATGTACAATGAAAAGCCAGCAGTCCTGCATTGTATGTGAGGAACCACAACCCCTGTCCACAACCCAGAGGGTTGGAGAGAATAGGAAAGTGCCAGCTGCAGGACGCAGTGACTGCAAGGGTATATAGCAGCTGTGTAACCCCTCAATCTCTTAAATTTCCATTGATAATGAATGAGGCACAGAGAAGTTGCCACATTTGTATTGTCTGTACTGGCATGCCATCAGACACCATCCACATACGAGTCCATCCTCTCTCGTGAAGGACAGGCATGTGCACAGTAGGGCTGCAACCAACTAATCGATAATGAGAATAGTTGTCAACTATTCCCATTATCGATTAGTTGGTTGGATCCCCTTGCGCTCTCTTCCATGCTGGGAGGAAGGCACAGCAAGCAGTGGGCGGGTGCAATAGCCAGCCTGCTATTGGCTATTGCAATTTGAAATGGCCAATAGCAGGCTGGCTATTTCACCAGCCCACTACCTGCTATATTTCCTTCAGCTGCTGTCTGGAATTTTGCCACTGACAGCCGTCATTCCCTTGCTGAAGCTAGTCCAGCACCATGTGCTTGCAGTACAGTTATTAAAAACAAAGGTGGGAAAAAGTCATTTTCGGTTTTGGCCTGACAAATTCTAATGCAGGGTGTGAATTGTCATGCCATTCATTTCAATGGCACCCCAAACGCTCCTCCCACCCACAGTTTGATTGTCCGCGCTAGAACGCACGGTACCGCAATGCCGTGCATTCCAGTGCAGTGCGATTGCAAAAAAAATTGTGCATGTAGTTTTATTCTGAAGTATATTTTATGTTTGTAACAATCCATTTGTGTATTTTATTTTAAATGAAAGATGGTATTTAATTTTTTTTATCCGATCGGAAAAATGATCGGCCAACTAATCGATTTATAAAAATGATCATTAGTTGCAGCCTTGGGTGCAGTTTTGATTAATTGCGCTATCTCCCTGGTTTACTGCAGGAACATGTTGCTGGGCCCCCTGAACATCTATAGGACCCCGGGCTTTTGTCTGTATTGGCTTGTTGGTGACCTGGCTCTGGCAGATCCTGATTGGCACTTGGTGTTGCCACTCTCAATTCCAAATTCTGCTTCCAATTTAACAATTACAGTTGGCTGCAATATACAGAGTTTGTTGCAGCATGGTCCTCAGATCTTATGTGCTGAATAAATCTGTGGTAATAAGAATAGTAGTTATGTCTCCCAAATGATTGCATAGTACAGGCCAGGTACCAATGCTGTTACCCGATATTATTAGAACAGGGGTAAGGGATTCAGTACGAATCGATGTGACAATGACAGTGTAAAGCAAATAAACACAAAGGTCTCTGTCCTTCAGTGTTCTAATCACATACTACAATGAACCTCTCTACATGACAGACGGCAGCCAACCAGAATATCAGTGGCAGGATGTGGTGTTGGTGGAATGCAAATGATGTGGCCATAAAAGATGTAAATCTATAGAACAGTATTCATAGAGAAGCTGATACCCCCTACAGGAAGTTTTCAAATCGAAACTTCGCCAAAACGATGACGTAAACTGTGTAAAAGCGTAGAATTGGGGCTGGTGGATGTAAGGTGCAGATACATTTATGGGCTGTTTAGTGTCATCTACATCCGCTGTGCATGTGAAGAGCACACTTTTGTGACATATTAACAATTAAAGTTATTTAAACAATTCAGTCATAAAATACATTTTTTTTTT